CATACCTTAATCAATAATGATAATTATTTTTACTGCCATTACACTGAACCAAAAAAAGTAAGTGAAAAATGATTCACATGTTAGTTCATATTTAGGCCTAACCTGGATTTGGAAGTAAGAGCCTGAATCTATACTAGAACAGCCTCTTTGGCTTCAATTTCCTAATGTGCGATCAGAATTCTGTCTATGTCTAAAAATCAAGCTGCTTTACTCACTATATGCAACCAGAATCAGAGTCTTAATATTCTATAGGACATTAAAGATGGAACAACCTCATTTCCTCCTCTTCCAACTCTATTATCCTAGATGAGTTAATTTCTCTTTTGAAGCTTCTGATTTCTCATGAAAAAATACAGGCATGAAAATAACTTGCAAAGGTATCTTGAAGTTTTTAAAGTATAATTCAATGAAATTTCTTGCAATTAATAAAAAGTGGCTATTATTATTTAAAGTTAGTTTAAAAATAATTAGGAGATTGGAGAACTTTTTAAGGATAATATGCTACTTGGAGAAACATGGAAGTGATCTTGGGCTATCAAATATCATTTTCATTATTCCAATACGTTAAAACTGGCTGCTCATTGACAATTCCTAATATAAATTTTGCTGTCTTCTGAATTCATGAATATGTCTTCTGACATATTAGTCTAATTATCCTCTGTTGTAATCTTCTCTTTATTTATATTTATAGTCCCATTATCTATTTGTGAACAATCTTTAAAGAAAATGAATTGGGGAAAAACACATCTAAAATAGCTGGACATAGGGTGCCTGGCTAACTCCTTGGGTAGAGCCTGTGACTCTTGATCTCAGGGTCATGAGTTCAGGCCCCACATTGGGTGTGGAGCCGAATTAAAATAAATTAATTAAAAAATAAATAAAATACTTGAACATGGTGGAAGAATTGGGAAAGGTGGTCAAAAGGTACAAACTTCCAATTATAAGGTAAATAAGTTCTGAGGATTTAAAGCACAACATGATGTCTATAGTTAACGTACTATATTATATGTTTGGAAGTTGCTAAGAGAGTAGATCTTAAAAGTTCTCATCACAAGGAAAAAATTGTTAATTATATGTGGTGACAGATGTAGTAATTATTTTGTAGTATATACATATATCAAGCCAATATGTTGTACACCTAAAATTTATATTCTGTTGTATGTCAATTATATCTCAATAAAATGGGGAAAAATAAAACAACTGGGCATGCTTTTCTTGAAAATATATGATGATTATAATAGCATTTGGAGTGAAGTTATGATGAAAAATCTTATTATGATTTATAATCTGGACTACAAACAAATCAACATGACGCATAGAGAGGAAAAATTAAAAGGGAATTAATTTATATATTCCAGAGTAATGTTTTAAAACTCCTAAAGGCAATAGCAAGAGTGCTAAGGGCTTATGCCATATGAAAAACTAATGTGGCAGGAAACACCTCTTTTTCTGGTGTTGGCTTCTCAATCTAACACAAGATATTTAGGACAGCATTTACATTTGATGATCAAATAAGGTAAGTATTATAGGCCACATGAATCTGGGTACATAGGAAATAGGGTTCCTATTGAATATGTTGAGCTAGGCCTCATCATATGATTCCAGGTAGATGTAAATAAAGGAACAAAAAAGCAGAAAGAATTGTGCAACAGGATCCCATTAATAAAAAAAAAAATCTATCATTCCATTAAAAACAAAAATAAAAAGAGGGGAGGTAAATTTATCTCTCTCTTCCCTGGACCACTTATTTAACATAAATTAAACTGTTTAGTTCTTAGAACAATTCCACAAGTTATGTGCTGTTCTTTTCATTTTACTAATGAGAAAACACAGCATTTAAAGAGGTTAAGCAAGTAGTCCAAAATTTACTCATTCATTCAACACTGTTCTAGGTGCTTAGGCAGTAACAATGGACAAAATCAGACACAAATCTCTGCCCTCACTGAGCTTATATTTTAGTGAGGAAAGACATGAAACACATATCAATAAGTTGTATGATATATTAAAAGGCAATAAATACTATGAAAAAGAAAAGGGAAAACAGGTAAAAGGGAATCATAAATCCTTAGGGGGGGAGTTTGCATTTTTAAATAATATTAGATAAATCTCCTTGAGAGGGTTATGTTTCAGAACCAACTGGAGAAGTCAGGGAGTTGGACATGGCTGGTTGGAGGAAGAGCATTTTAAGGAAGGAGAACAGCTGGAGCCAACAGCCTAAGGTGGGCCCCAGTGTGGCACCAGCATGTTGAAGAAGCAGCAAGATCAGTGTGGATGAAGTCTAGGAATTAAGAGGAAGAGTGGTTCAAGAAGGCCGTATTTGGAGAGGGTGCATACCAATTGGAACCTCGTAGGGTACTGTGAACACTTGGGTTTAGAAACCAAGTGAAGGGATCCCTGGGTGGCGCAGCGGTTTGGCGCCTGCCTTTGGCCCAGGGAGCGATCCTGGAGACCCGGGATTGAATCCCACGTCGGCCTCCCGGAGCATGGAGCCTGCTTCTCCCTCTGCCTGTGTCTCTGCCTCTCTCTCTCTCTCTCTCTCTCTCTCTCTCTCTCTCTCTCTCTCTGTGACTATCATAAATAAATTAAAAAAAAAGAAAAGAAAAGAAACCAAGTGAAGTGAGGAATCTCTGGGCTGAGGAGTGACATCATTTGACATGTGACATGTTTTGAAGACTTTTGGCTGCTGTGTTGAGAATACCAGTTGATAAGGGAGGCCAATGGTAGAGGTAAGGAGAGCAGCCAGGAAGCTATTATAATAATCCAACTTAGAGATAATGGTGACTCAGTCCATATTTGTTACAGCAAAAATAGTGAGGAACAGTTTCCTCATAGTTTGGATGTTGGGAGGGAGACCAAGAGAGGAATCAAAACCAATTTTTGAGACTTTTTGGCCTGAGCAACTGGAAGAAAGTGGTTGTCATCAATTGAGAAGGCTGAGTGTGGAACCAATTTGGGGGAGAAGAACATTAGTTTCATTTTGGATGTGTTAGGTACAAAATGTTTATTAAATGTTCAAGTTGAGACACTGAGAAGGCAATTGGATCTATGAGTCTAGTGTTCTGGAAAGAAGTCTAGTTTGGAGAAATAAATTTGGGGGTCACCGACAGTGGCACTGAAAGCCATGTAACTAGATGAAATTACTAAGACAGTTAATGGAGATTTAAAAAATAGAGAAAGTAGACTAACTCTTGATAGGATGAGGGAAATAGTTTATTTCATGAAATTATCGGGAAGCTTTCCCTTTGGCAATACAAAGAAAGCTATATAAATAGAGGTGACTTGATCATTTTCATAGACTCAAAATTCTGAACTTCACAGATTTATAAATCTGGTAGAGGTCATTTTGGGTCACCAACCATATTTCCTAAACTTGGGGCAAAAACCAGAAACGAACCTAAACCTATCTAAACAGTTGGGCATGGTTTTCTTATGAATTAACTAATTCTCCAATATTATATCTGTAAGTGGCACAATCAAAAGACAATACTAGGGAAGGTAAGCCAATTTTAGGTATTTGCAACACATAAGCTCTTCTAAATGGGTTTCTAAGATTTTGTAAGTAAAAGGTAAGTCTATTTCAATATAAGAATCTGAATATCCTATTATTCCAAGCTCTTAGTGATACCTTGATTATGAGAAAACCAAGTTTAAGGTTTTCTTTGATTTCTGAACTCCCTTGGTTGCATGAAACCTATTATCCTTCTCTAGAGGACGAAAAATGATTTTCCCTCTACCTTTCTAGGTTCTTGGCTAAACTTTCCCCCCACCCCCCAATAAAAGACAGATTAACAGGAGAAAGACAAACAGAAGTTTAATAACGTGTGTACCTCTTGTATGTTTGGGAGACAACCAGGAAAACTGAGCAACTCTCTGAAATGGCCCAAGCCACGATCTTAAAAACCATCTATTATTAAAGACCAAAGAAGATGTTGGTGGGCAGGTGGTTGTCAGGGAGGAAGGCTAGTTATGGGAGGTTACCAGGAAAAAACACAGTAGCTAAGGGTATGGCTGTTATACAGATTTAAGTCAGTGACTTCTCCATCAATAAGGTTTCCTATAGATTTAGATTTAGGCATCCTCCCCTCCCTGGTAGAGAGAAAAAGAGAGAGAGGGAGAGGGAGAGGGAGAGGGAGAAGGAGAGAGAGAGAGAGAGAGAGAGAGAGAGAGAGAGAGAGAAACATTCTTATAAATGGAGGCTTCCCTTATAAATATGTTTTGTTTTTTTTTGTTTTTTTTTTTTTACAAAAGGGTGACTTCTACTCAGTTTTCAGACCTTCTCTTATGTCTGCTGTTTCTTAAAAATAATCAACTCAAAGTTATCCTTATTCCAAAGAGATATATTTTGGGGTAGCAGATTCTGTTCCTCCCCACTTCCTTACACGGCTCATTCTCCAAAACCTCTATCTTCTTAAACTTATAGGATCAAACGCAGATCTCCTTCATATACTCGTAAAACCCAAAGTCCTATCCTGATCCAATTTGGAGGCTCCAGATAGGGCAGCTTTTTAAATAGAATAATGACCAAACGCTAACCTTAGCAGAACACCTTGTGAAGCTTATAGAACATGGTCATATACGGGGAATGTTCCTTTCCTATCATAAGATATGGGGTGAAGTATTTATTAGCGGATACAGCGTAGGTCCAAATGTGCAATGCTTCCTCTTTTTGTCAAGATTTATTTACTGGAGAAGGGCCCACAGGAGTAGGGGGAGCGGAATCTCCAGCAGACTCCTCGGAGCCTGAAGCCCCACAGCGGTCCCATCCCACCACCGTGAGATCACGACCTGAGCCAAAATCAGGAGTTGGAAGCTTAGTGCCTGAGCCACCCAGTGCCCCTTAGACGACACTTTCTCAATCAAAAAAAAAGTTAATTAGCTATAGCGTCAAGAGGTAAAGGGAAAGGTTTGTCTATCACCCAAAGGTGCATCGTCAAAGGCGAGGCTGCTAGAAAACCAGCGTGACCGGGCAGCGCTTTACCACCACCAGGCCAAGGTCTTACCTGACTCAAAAAGCGTGACCATCAGACGTTGCGTCTGGTAAATGGGATGTTGATCCCTTAACATGTTTGAGCTTCACCTTCTGCATCCGCAAAACCGGCCACGACCTGCGTCAAGTTTAAAGGAGGCGCAGAGGTCAAGGCGGTCCCGCAGGGCCCTAGGGCTGCGCTGCCCCGGGCCAGTCTAAGGTCGCTTAGAAAGGTCGGGCGTTCGGGCGCTGCTGCAGGGACCCGGAGGGGAGGCCACGTCGGGTGCAGGGGTCCGGGGAGCACCCGCCGGGGGCCGAGGGCATCTGCTGTTCTCGCGGCTCCCCTGCGCGGCTGCACCGCTGCGCCGCGGGGTCCCTCCCCGGCCGCCCCCGCCCCCGCCCCCCTGCCCCCTGCCCCTCCCCCTCCCCGCCCCCCGCTCCCGAGCGCGGCGGCAGCGGCCCCGGCGGCGGCGGCGGCGGCGCGTCACGGCGCAGGCTCCGCGGCCCGAGCAGGCGCGTCAGGCGGGCTCGGCGGGGGCGCGGGCGGCGGGGACGCGGCTGCCCCCGCGCTGCGCCCGCCGCACCCCCGGGAGCCGCCGCCGCGTCCTCGCCGGGCGCCGCGGGCGGGGACGCCTCGGGTAAGCGGCGGGGGCTCCGCTCGGCGGGGCGGGGGCGGCGGGGGCGGCCGAGCCGGGCTCTGCGGCAAGTCCCGGTCCAGCGCGGGCCCGTGGAGGCGCGCGGAGCCGGCGCGGGGAGAGGGGCGCGGGGGTGCGGACGGGGGGCGCGGGGATGGGGACGGGGGGTGCGGGGGTGCGGACGGGGGGCGCGGGGATGGGGACGGGGGGTGCGGGGGTGCGGACGGGGGGCGCGGGGATGGGGACGGGGGGGTGTGGGGATGGGGGCCCCGGGGATGCGGGGCGCAGACGGGGGGTGCAGGGATGCGGGGCGCTGGAGGCGCGGGATGCGGGGCGCGCAGGGATGCGGGGATGGAGGGTGCTGGGCGCGCAGGGATGCGGGGATGGAGGGTGCTGGGCGCGCAGGGATGCGGGGCGCGGGGGGCGCAGGCTTTGCGGGGCGGCCCCCGGCGCCGAGCGGTCTGCGAAGCGGCTTGGGCCGGCGGCCCGCGGAGGTGGGAGGCGCCGCGGAGCGCGGGCGGCGGGGCCGGGGCCGGGCCGGGGCGGGCGGTGGTCCCGGGGGGCGGCGGGGCGGGCAGAGCTGCGGCCGGGCGGGCGGGAGCCCGGGGCGCGGGGCCCCCGGGAAGTCGGCCGCGGAGCCGCCGCTGTGGTGCGCGGGGGCCGGCACCGAGCCCTTCGGGTGCAGGAGAAATGGTAGAAAACGAGAATTCCGGGGAGAAAGGGGGTGCGGGATACGCCGGAGACGGAGGAGAAGCAAGACTCAAGGGCGAGACGGGCGTCAAGTGAACGGGAGGCACCGGGAGGCCCCTCCGTCTGCGGAAGGCGGTGCTGGAGAGACGGTTCATGGCCTGGAAATGAAGGACTGCAAGAGGCTTAGACATTCCGGCTTCACCGCGCGCTTCAAGTTCTCCCTCTTTTTTTTTTTTTTTTTTTTTTTTTTGGAGGCGTCTGACCGGCAAGAATATAATTCTCGTTTGAGCATAGAAAATGTTATTAAAATAGGACTAAGAAGATTATTTGGAAGAGTCTGACCATACTTGCTGGGTGTTTTTTTTTTTTTTCATGTTATATTACCTAGAATTTTGTGATGTCGAAAATCATTTTCAGTAAATATTAGTAACATGAAAGTGGGAAAGGCAACCTTAAATCAATGTGCACCCTTTTGGGGTAAAAGGTAACTTGCAAATTTAATGTGTATGATTAAGAAGAATGAATTTAAAGTGTGAAACTTTTGAAACTAATTTTTTTCTTTTATCTCTGTCAGTACTTTAATAGTTAGAATTGTCTTTCCCATTAGAACAGCTTTATTGTTTTTTTTTTAAAAATATACATGCAGAATTTAAAAATATAGAAATTTTTAGAAGAAATGAGAAACTAAACGTACAAGAGGACGATGACCATTTTAAGCACCGTGTTAGACATCCTTCCAGGTAGCTTTCTAAACCTACATTGATATACTGTGCAACTCAATGTCAATTTACGATTTTCTGTAACTATAAAATCAGAAATGTTGCATATACCTCCTTGGGATTGTATTTTCTGTGGGCCGTTAGTCCATTATTTAATCCTTACCACTAAACATCACAAATATATATTGAAGGCTAACCGCATAGGTTTGAGCGATGAAAACCTCATGTACAAATGCACTCGTCCATTGGGTAGTAATGGTCATACTCCTTAGAGTCGTATTATTACTGCTTTTTGTAAACATTTTCTTGTTCTTTCTTGTAGATTGATCTCCTGAGATTTAACTTCCAAGATGAAGTTTTTATTGGCGATAGCCTTTTTTATTTTGATTTCCTTGTGGGTTGAAGAAGCGTATTCTAAAGAGAAGTCTTCCAAGAAAGGAAAGGGGAAAAAGAAGCAGTATCTATGCCCATCGTACGTTCTTCATGTCTTATATTATTATATGGAGAAATGTTATTGCGTTATCGAAGTAAGGTGGTCTATTGAGACACATATCAGCAGAACTTTTCTTGTCAGAATAGGTACCCGTTGGTTTCACGAGAGAGGTTTTAGAATGTGATAGCTAATTCCTAGTGTTTAAGGTAAAGTTTTATAAAGTTTTGTTCGTCCTCTGGAGGAATATTTATACATTTATACATTTTCTATATACATTTACATTTATACATTTTCTATAAAATTATAAAAAAATAACTATTTTTTACCCTACATGTGCAACTGTAATCAGATACTAAAATTCCTGTACATTATACATTTCTATAAAATTACATTTTATACATTTCTATACTTTTTATATAAGTTTATAAAAAAATGACTTTATTTTTTACCCTACATGTGCAACTGTAATCAGATACTAAAATTCCTATACATTATACATTTCTATAAAGTTACATTTTATACATTTCTATGCATTTTCTATAAAATTATAAAAAAATGACTATTTTTTACCCTACATGTGCAACTGTAATCAGATACTAAAATTCCATGTTTTGAGCAAATACCAGTTCAAAAAGATGGCTTTTTAAAAAAAAATTCCTAAGAATGAATATCAGTTTTAAAATTAGTTAGCTGAAGTATGATTTTAAGATGTATTTAGTTCATATTGATGCATGGAAGAAGAAAATTCACGTGATAGGTCAGTTTTTTTATTTCAATATTTTTCTGCAAAGGACCTAGATTGGAAAGTTAGGATATTTTTCAAGAACTGTGTCACTAAACTTGAAGTTACTTGTAAAACAAAATTTAAATCCAAATTGCCCACTCCTTTTGTGGTTTGGACTTTCTTTCTTTCTTTCTTTTTTTTTTTTTTTTTCAATAGGAGTGGTTAATATTACTGGCAAATAACAGCATATTTTTAATAGTACCTAATGGTTAGGGCAATTGAAGAATATGTCAGTAAATAACTTTCACAAATATGTGTTTTTGGGTAATGAGGTAACCTATACAGTGATCTGAAATAAGAATTCATTTGCTGTCATGGGTCATCTTTTAATTAAGATTTTTTAAATGCTGTATTGGTCACGGGTAACGCTTCAGCATCAGTATTACCGAAAGGTAGACTATCGTATTCTGTAAGAGATAGTAAGGCACATTCTGGGAAGTTTATTTTGTTAAGAAAGGATATAAGAATTGGTATTTTGGAACAGATATTTTTATGAATATGTGAGATTAGAAGTCTGGAGACAGAGTCATGATGCATATATAGTCTAGCATTAAGTAAAGCTCCCAATTTAGAAGTATCTCCTGGTTTTCAAGTTTATTAGTCCTGCTTGTTTCAGCGCTGCAGAGTCTGATATCAGGGCCAGATTTCTGGGTGTGTAACAGAATGGCCCTGATATACTGATGTGTCCCTCCTCGGCCACCTCCCAATTGGGTATGAAGTATCTGATGGGGCAGGTTCAGGAATAATCACCATCTGCAGCTTTCACTACTCTTGAGTGCTCAGAGTTTTTGCATCACAACCAGGAGATAAGCGTTTTAGGGAACTGGACATTGTCAGGCCTTACTCCTCCCAAGCAAGAGGACATATACTCATGTTTTAGATATTTTTATATTAACTTTTTACTTGATGAATGTTGGCATATTGATATAAACTGTTGCATGTGTCTTACAGTCATGGTGATTCTATGTGTAGAGTCAGGCCAACTTCAGCCAGTCAGGTTTCTTTATATGTGAAAGTTGATAGGGCCTTTTTCCTCTGCTTCCTGCCCACCTCCCCTCCCCTATCAAATGTCATCAAAGAGTTCTGACAATGGTGACAGCAAGCCTTAGGATTACCACATTATCTTTTTTTAAGATTCATTTTATTTATTTATTTTTTTACAGATTTTATTTATTGCTTGATGAGAGACACAGAAAGAGAGGCAGAGACATAGGTAGAGGGAGAAGCAGGCTCCCTGTGGAGGAGCCTGATGCCGGACTCAATCTCAGGACCCTGGGATTGAGCCAAAGACAGATGCTCAACCACTGAGCTATCCAGGTGTCCCTTAAGATTTATTTTATTTATTTTAGAGAAGGGTAGGGGCAGAGGAAGAGAGTCTTCAAGCAGACTACCCCACTGAACTTGGAGCCCAACATGGGCTCGATCTCACAACCTGTAAGAGCACCACCTGAACCAAAACCAAGAGTCGGATGCTTGATTGACTGAGCCATCCGGGAGCCCTTAACTACAGACTATCTTACAAGAGTCCTTTAGAGGACATTCTGTCCCTTTTCAGAATTACACTATTAAATTGTCTTACATATAAACTGGCTATATCCTTACAGTGTCTATAGTTACTAAAGACAAATTTTTAAAGTTGTATCTAGTAGTTTAAGAGTGAAACATTTAGGTTCTCTTTTGGTGAATATGGAAATCATCAAATAGAAGATCCAATATACACTTGGTAAGCCCGTATCACAGTATTTTAGGCATGCTGTATAATTAATTGACACTTTATCTTTGAAAATTTCTACCATGAAATTTAAAATTATAATTTTATTTTATTTTATTATAATTATGAGACTAAAAGATAAAACTTTATCAACAGTTGCCATGGTGATGCTGCCAAAAATCTGAGGTATTAAAAAGTAGATGTGCCTTGGAGAATAAGATCTTTTTTTTTTTTTTAAGATTTTATTTATTATTCATGAGAGACCCAGAGAGAGAGAGAGAGAGAGAGAGAGAGAGAGAGGCAGAGACACAGGCAGAGAGAGAGAGAAGCAGGCTCCCCGCAGGGAACCCGATGTGGGACTCGATCCTGGGATTCCAGGATCATGC